AGAGAGAGAGAGTTCTTCTTCTTCCTCTTCTAAGTCCACCTTCTCTTCTCACCCTCTCGCCACCTGACTTCTCAGACTACGACAGAGAGAGACAGCGTTGTGACTTGAGACTTGACGACATTGGATCCAGACTTGACATTTGGGATTCAGACATTCCGACGAGGGACTATTTGGGCTTGTGCCGAAGACTTGGTGTTGACGACATTCCCATTTTCCCCCTCCTCCTTGTCTATCCCCTTCCTCTTCGTCTGTGTATGGCATGGGCTGGCGCAGTCTTCCTGTGTGAAGCGCCAGGCCCATTTCACACCATGTAACGATGATAATGATGTATGTTCAGGGCTGCATTTCAACATTGATTGTTTGGATCACTGGTATCTAAGTCTTCCGTTGTGATATCTTATACTTTGTATTGAAAGGTCGGTTCTTGTTCTGGTTTGCACGTTACAGTATGCAACATTCTTCCTCATACACGAAGACCACCACCACCTGCTGACTGTCCAAGCCTGAAGCCCGGCTAGGGAGGGCTGGGCTATGGTGCTACCGTCAGCGGCACCCTGCTTCCTGTTGCTGCCCACGTGCGCCCGTGCCTCGCCGCTAGCGCAGCAGCAGCCCGTGAGTCTATGCTCTAGCAGAGCTGCCGCTCGCAAGTGCAAGTGCACAAATGTTTGTCCTGGCGCCCGGCCCTTTCCTATATGGAAAGTGGAGGGTGCTTTCCTGCGATTCCCCCCCATCGCTCCTCTTCCACCCCCTCCCTCCCCCCCTCCCCCATCTCGACCCGTTTCCCCTGCGCTGCTCACCTTTCTGCCGCACGGCTTTCCCCCCGTGCGCACACTGCTTTTCCCCGCGCACCACTTTTGAAACGGTTTTCACCTTTGAGGTAGCAGTTGCAGATCCTAGAGCTCGACCCCCAGACCTCGCCCTTACCCTTGTACAGTACCGATGATCCGCGGGTGCTTGAACCCACGTCCTGTGTTTTGAAAGCGACCTTTTTGTTTGCTGTTGGTAGGGTGGTTGTCGAGTCTTGAACCGTAGGCCTGTAGGTTAGAGGTCTTAGCGGTGGTAGGAGTCATGGCTGCTACACTGTTGAAAGGTCAAGTTGTAGCTGCTACAGTACTGAAGGGTCAAGCCACAGTCTTCCCGAGATTCCGGAACTGACACTTTGCGAGTCATAGGGCCTCGTTCCACACCACTCCACTTCAGAAATACTTGAGAAATTCTTCGTTCCACACTTCACTGCACTTGACTTTCACTTTCCCTAATCGTGATTAGGGTTCCCGCCTCTCCCAACGTCCCCCAAAAAAGTCAAGTGCAGCTCAAGTGTGACCAGGTGAATCGGTGAATTTTTCAAGTCACCTCTCGGGCCACACTTGAGCCGCACTTCAAAACGGCGCAAGTGAGAGCCAGGAGGCGGTTGTAGGCGCTGCACATTACCCCCATTTTTTCTTTTTTTTGTTTTACATCCCCCCTTCCCTCGCGCCAACCGCCTCTGCCACTTTCCCGCTCTTGTTTCGAGTGTGGAGTGGAGTGTAACGTCGAACCGTGCCAGGCTCAAGTGTTTTTTAATGACGATTACCCTGTGACACTTGAAATTGAAGTGGAGTGAAGTGGTGTGGAACGAGGCCCATAGTAGTCAGTCCATAGGCAAGTGGTCAAGTGGCCAGTCTTACCTTGCTTAGTCAGCGGTATCCAGTCCCAGTCGCACCCTGGCAAGTCAGCAAGTACCATGTCAGACAGTGCGCACTTCGGACCCGGTGGAGAGAGGCAGACCAGCGACAATCCAAAGTATAAATAAAGAGGCAGTGATAAGTCATTCATTCATTCTGCCTGTGAGCCGTGCGGAAGGGCTGTCGAAGTGTCGGAGGCCTGCAGGTGCCCGTTGACAAAGAAGGCTAAGAGGAGGAAGATCGGCCATAGCCGATAGTAAGTCAGTAGAGGAGAGAGACGGCGGCCATAGCCACCACCTCAGGGAGATTAGAGTGTTCGTAGGTGTGTGTGTGTACGTGTGTGTGTATGTTTGTGTGTGCCTGTGAAGTGTGAATGTGTTTGCGGGACATCCAAGGAGATCCAGGGTGTGTGTACGAACAAGTTGCTGAGAGTACAGAGATCTGTGTACCAACAAGTTGCTGAGAGTACAGAGATCTGTGTACGAACAAGTTGCTGAGAGTACAGAGATCGTCCATAGTGGACCAAGACAAGTTTGAATCTGAGCTGCGTTCTTGGTTTCATTATCTCTGAGCTTTGTGTGGGCGCAAGTCGCCAGCTTGATCGTCATCTGTTTGTACGCGTGCTGAGTGTTGAGAAAGACAGGTCCGATTGTATTGGTATCAGAGCAGTTCCGGCTGTCCCACTGGTCGCGATCACAGCCTGCCACGTCATCAACGAGACCGTCATCATTATCGTCCTCGTTATCGCCGTTCAGAAGGGAGACAGCCAACGTCGTCGTCATCTCGAAGGTGGTCCGCCGTCACCGTTCCCGCCAAAAGAGAAGAGAGGTAGAGCGCACCACAACATCGCACGCTATCGCCGTAGGCGCCGAGAAGAGGAAGGAGCAGCGCCGGGTGCCACATTGGCAGGAAGAGGTACGCGCCACATCAGCGCCGTCCGATGAGAAGAGGAAGGCGCGCCATTAGAGGTGCCACGTCAGCACTGTGCGCACCCTGTTATATGCCGCGCGCCGCCCGCTGCTAGCTGCGCGCTGAGTGTAAGCATGTTGTTGCTATCGCGCGCGCCGTCGCTGTTGCATGCGCTCACTCTGTGAGCCGCTTGTTGCCGCTGCTGGAATCGCGCTCACGAGTTATCACGCGCAGCTGCTGCTCAGACCGCGCGCTTATGCGTGCTGAGTTGCCCAGCGCGCCGCTCCCGCCGCTATTGAAAGTGCGTGCCGCTGCGACCCGCTCACGCGCTACCAACTGTCGCGAGCTGCTGCTACGCATCGAGGCCGATCGCCCGCATGTCGTTCATAGCGCGCCCATGTGAGCTCGTTGGCTGTGTCTGAAGACTCCCGCGCATGCCGAGGAGGAATGTCGCGAAGCCGTGAAGAAGAGTGTCGTTCTTGAAGAAGGCCGCTGCGCCACACTTGAAGAGAAGGCTCAGCCATAGCCGACAGGCGCTGAAAGGAAGAAGGAGACCACGAGGAACGACAACGAAGAAGAGAGAGAGAGAGAGAGAGAGAGAGAGAGAGAGAGAGAGAGAGAGAGAGAGAGAGAGAGAGAGCTGTCTCTTATACACATCTAGAGGGCCTTTTTCAATAAAGCCAGGAGCAGGGCAAGGCAAAGCCTCGTGGCGGAGCTGCACCATCCTTTCGACTCACACCAGCCGGACGCCACAAAYGCTTACAAAATAGTGGATTACGCCACACTTTACTACAATAAACTTTTCACGCCTGAAAATGCACATTGGGGTGACGAAACTTTGCTTCAGGCCAGGGATACTATGCTCCAGAACCTGTCAGCCCTGCTCCTGTCTCTTATACACATCTAGATGTGTATAAGAGACAGGAGAGAGAGAGAGAGAGAGAGAGAGAGAGAGAGAGACAAGATTGGTTGTCCAGCCGTGAAGAGGAAAGTGTAGGCCATAGCCGCCAAGCTCGGACCTTGCAGCGAAGAAGAAGCTTGAAGTGACGAAGAATTGAGAAAAGAGGAAGCAAGGAGGACGGAAAGACGAGCAAGGAAGAAGAAGCCATAGCCAAGGAGGGGCGAGAAAAAGACAAGGGAGGAAAAGAGAGAGAAGAGGTTGGCGAAGGAGGGGGTCAGCAACCATAGTCGAAGGTCGGAGCTTTGGTTGGGAAGGTTGACTGGGAGGTTTGACCAAGTTGACCGGTCATTGACCAGTGTTGACCGGAGGCCCTTGACCACGATTTTGACCAAGCTGGAGTCAGTATAATCTCGCCAGGCCTTCAGCCTATCCCCTCGCCCTGTGGATAGGCACTTACCCCTTGGTATTTGCTGAGTCTATCTGTCTCTTCTTTCTGCATTGAGTCACTTCTGTCGAGGTGATAGGACTCCATGCATATGGATAGAGTTATGTTGACCAAACCTACACGGGCTGAGTAGGGCTCAAGTCCATGTCTGATAACTGGCACTTCCGAAGGCCTAACCCTCCCAAGGACCAAGGACTGGAACAGACCGGCGGGCTGCTCAGTGTGGCATGGTAGGCCCAAAATCCGACTTGTGGGTTGTACAATCAACTGTCTAAGTCTTGAGAGAACTCTGCTGATCACGTCGTCCTGACTGCGACGTTAAAGAATTCATGAGGAGTTATGGGGGATCTCCTTAAATGCCTCCTAATCAGCAACGGAGCTCTGTAGTGACAGCCTAGAAGTAGGTCCAAGTTAGAGACCCTAGTTGAGAGAATCTGAGAGGATTGTGTGGTCCTTAGAGAGTCAGTCAGTCAGTCAGTGGGTGGAAAGTGTAAGTGGTGAGGAGTGGAACTCTCACAGGTTGTGCATCTTTCACCATGGTGACCACGCGAGGAGGAACGAGTACCACCCCGTTGAGCAAAGAGCAAGAAGAGCAAGTCGCCGCCCTGCTGAGAGAGAGAAAAGAGAAACTGGGGGAGGTAATAAATCAGGTGAAGATGATGGCCTCGACAGAAGAGAAGAAGGCCAAGCAAAGATAGATGGAGGAGGAGATGAAGAAATGGGAAAAGGAGTAGGCAGAGAAAAGGGCGGCAATAGACGGGAAAGCAGAAGCTGGAGCAGAGAAGGGAAAAAAAAAAAGAGGAAGTAGAGGTTCTCCTAGAGAGAAATGTAAGAAGAGAAGAAAGAGGGGAACCCAGTGTGGCGCCCGAGATAAGGGCGAAAATGGAGAAGATGGTGACAGAGTGGGTGGCCAATTTGGCCCTGGGGGAGGAAGAGGAAGCATCCTTGCTTGTCCCTTAGGCAGAGAGGGAGGTATTCACAAGGGAGTTGGAAGTGGAGGAAAACCCCTTGCAGCGACAGACTATGGAGGAGGAGAAAAAGTTAGAATGAAAGTTGCGCCTTACTAGGGAAAGGAGGAGGCGATTGGCGGCGGCCAAGACGATGGAGAAGGAGTTGAGGGACGCCGAACAGCAAAAGGGGAAGTTGACAGCATAGTAAAACCTCCATAAGCAAATTTAGATCTTGTCCTAGAATATGGAGATAGTGTTGAAAGCCTAATAGGAACGGTTGCGCTATTTAAGGGGCCACAATATCGCATTACAATCCATACGC